TGTGGAGTTGGAATGTGAATTATTATAAATTTATTTATGATTTTTTTTTTTTGAACATAGGGAAATTTAGGGAATGGTGAAATATTTTTTTAAGTAATAAGTGAAAATAAAACTCCTAACCTATTTGAATTCAAGTACTTAGACTCGAATAATAAACTAATAAGTTTGATAAGCTGGTTTAGTTTATTTATGACTTAAATTTGTAAATAAGTACTAAAACTTAATGTGTAATGAATAAGAATTTGTAAATTTTTTAATCTAAATTATAAAATCAAGATACAAACTATCAAATATTAAAAGATTCATTTTTTCTTAAACATTAAACTACATAAAATATATTTTTTTAAATAAAATAATCATTGATAATGAAATATTCTTTATTGGTCATCTTTTAATTATAATTTCATACAATTTTCGGTCTGTTTGAACTTGGGGTGTTTTTACTGTCAATTAATTCCTCCTTAATCTAGTTTAAAGGCAGGTTATTCATGTCGATTTATATTACGGGGTGTAACAATTTAAAGTTCTAGGGTCAGAGCGCCACTTTCTGCGAATTAGAGTTGCTTTTCGTTTTTCCACCCTTCCCCTGTTTTTAACCCAAATCCTATAGCATGCCTAACGTCGGACTTATCATCGATCTTCCACCGGAGAAACAATCGGAAGTCAGAATCTCATCCGTATTGGCCGGACGGGTAATTTCCGAAGCCCCAGTTAACCGGAACGCGGTTTACAGGGTGCTTGCAAAGGTCTGGGCGAACAAGCTGGATTTTCAGATAATTGAGTTGGAGACTAACCTCTACGCAATCTCGTTTGCTTCTGAATTGGACATGAATTAAGTGCTCGAGCAATCTGCATGGTCAATAGATGGTTATCTCTTTAATCTAAAGAGATGGGAACCTAATTGTTCTTTATCTGATATTGATTTCTCTCTAGCTTCTTTCTGGGTTCAAGCACATGGGTTAAACCTTGATCAATTGACTTATAACAATGCTTTGGTTGCTGAAAACCCAGTTATTAACAATGTGTTGTGGAGAGCTTTCTTGAGGTTTAGGGTTCAGATTGATGTTACTAAGCCCTTTAGCTGCTGGGTTTTGGAGTAATGGAAAATGGATTGATTTAAAGTATGAGAGGTTATCTGATTACTGTTGCAAGTGCGGGAGGCTTGGTCATTCCGAGGTGTTATGTGGGGAAGAGAAAGTGATGTCTTTAGTGGATCTGTAGAAACCTATGTATGGTGATTGGTTAAGGATAGCGTGAGTGCGGGATAAGGAAAGAGGGAAGAAAAGGTGATGTCTTTAGTGGATCTGAAGAAACCCATGTATGGTGATTGGCTAAGGACAGCTCGAGTGTCTGATAAGGAAAGAGATTATGGTGGGGTTAGTAATGAGGTTAAGAGTGCAGATAGTAGTAATGTATGGAGCGCGTGCTCACATGCTCTTAAACATAGAGAGAAGTCACAAGGAGGAAGAGGAGGTAGTTCCTATATAATCCCGGCTAGGAGGAAAGGGGACCTTTCTTCAGATGTTTCACCTTCTGTTCCTGTTTCTCCTACTGGTGCAATAAGGAAAGAACCTAAGCATAAGCTGATCGTTAAAACCACCTCCCATTCTGCTGGAATTGAACACCAAGATCAATCTAGCTAGTGGAAATTTAGACCTAGTCCAGGAGCGCCCTATGGAACAAGGGGGCGCTTGTAATCTGAACCTTGGTATAGGGGCTGCTAATGCATTGCCAAATGGATTGGCTGACAGAAGTGGATATGAAGATTCTGTTTATTTTGTGGAGATACCTGAGGATGAAGAGGAGGTATTTTATAATTGCAGAGTATAATCTTATGCTCCCCTGCTGCACAATTGGCCTCTCATTTGAACAAGGTTTCAGCAAAATGAGGCTCAAAAGATGCAGCAGACCAGAAACAGCTAAAAAACTGAAGTCAAGTCGTTTGCTTAGAGATAATCATGTACTGATGTTGCCAAGTTCTGTTAAAATCCCTCAGAGGAAGCAGGGGATGCCAAAGAACAGTAGCAAGAAGAAGAAAACAAAAACCCCAAGTGGGAGCACAGAGAAAGATGACTGTTATTACTCTTGATAATATTAATTTGATATATGTGCCTCTTTACACTTTGGATGTTTTTTGGTCTTTGGGCACACTCAAACTTCTAATGGAAAGCGTTGTGTTCGCCTAGCAGCAACAGAGGAGCCATAATCCACATCTTTTTGTAGAAGTAAAATTATTTTGAGTTTTAATTTTTGAGAATGTCATCAATGTCAGGAATTTTTTTTTTTTTTCTTTTTTGGTATGAATCACTTGGTATCTGAAAGTTCATTGAATCACTAATTAATCCGGATTCAAGTCGAGCAGATCCAATGAACGGCAAAACTCTCGTGAGTTTTAACAGAACTATATTACAGGAGTTGAAATGAAGATCTGTCGTGAATGTCAGGATGAACGGTCAGCTTTGGAACAATAATATGTACAAAGTCTTGGGTCAGTGCAACCCAAGTATGGGAAAAGCTTTATAAGCTGCTCCTTTTCATTTGGGCTTGTCTCTGTACTGAACTCTCTTTACCATCCAAAACCCAAACTAAAAACTTCATTGCTTGTTGAAGAATCTCATTTTGGTGCGCTGATACAGGCCATGAGACAGCTCTGAAGCAGGGTCTGGTCCTACACTCTCATGCTCATAACGCACCTTTAGGGGAGTTGGTTGGGAGGAAAGCTTTTATCTACTTTGGCTCGTATTTAAATTTTTTAGAGTTATATATGTATTTTTATATTTTAATATTAAAAAAATGAAAGTAAAAAAATTTTTTTAATATAATTTCTAATTAATAAACTTTTCCCTCAACTTAACCTATATGCGTTTTATATGCGTCTTACTTGCGTTTTACTTGACAAATTTTTTATCAAATTTTTTTATGTTAATTTCTTAATAAACTCAGAAAAATTAACTTAACAAAATTTCAAGTAAATTTTATTACAAATTTATTAATTTTTACATAATATTTTTTAATCACTTTTTTAATAAAAATTTTTTAATAAAATTAGCGATCAACCAATCAAAGAGGTGCTTAGTTTATGGAGGAATAGGAAACCTTGCAGGAATAGGGGCACAAACGCGGCATAATAATTGGGACAAAGATCATGCCGCAGTAATTGAAATTCCGGGATTGGAGATTCATTGAATTCCCAGGTGTTCTCAAGAACAAGGAAGTGAAAGATTACATATCTGCGATATTTAGATATCCTGTGGAAGTTTATGGGACAACGGGGTTTGCCTTCTGATTCAGAATGTCAAACTGGTGATGTCATGAATTATTTCAACACTGAGGAAAAATGTCTATATTTTTAGACATTTCACGTCAAATAGAATTGATGATATTTTCCTATTGAAACAAGCAGCATC